AAGCATTTGTATCCTTTGAACCTTTTTGCATTTTGTCACTTTACAACCACAAACCTCATGGGATTTTTTGAGGGGTAATACTTAACAAGGTAGAAAGGGCAGTCATAGATGATGTTCTTAATATTTTACCTAAAAAAAAACAAAATCTAAAATTAGTGGCAAGTAGTGGTATTTAATTCTGTTTCTTTTGATACCCTAAAATAAAGTCTTTGTCAACAAACTGCCTTCAGACCTCGCCTTATTTGTAAGTTATCTTTTTAAGTCTAATTTAGCGGTTCTGTGAAAGCCTCAGAGAGTACATCAGTGGGCAAATGGTATCATTTGCCCACCAATTTGGGGAGGAAGTCACAGATAAAATGGGCAATGACACAATATCTCAGAGTTCAGACATCATGCAGAGGACGTTTTAGTATAGAAGATGTCACAACTGCAAACCAACCAAGACGGAACAAAGTCAAAGGGTATCACGTTTCCCAGATCAGAAAGAAATTGAATTAAAAAATACATATATATGGAGAAAGTGGGAAGTAGGTCAGTTATTCTATATTGGTCCATTTTTGTGACATAGTCCTGCCTATCACACATTAGAAAAATATAACTTTATTGACATGACTCACTGCATGGTACTAGCTATAGCTGCTAAGAGGCGCTGTTCTAATGTTCTAGTTACTAATGTACATCAGTAACTCGTCTTTCCTCTGCCTACATCCCCCAGAATGCTGTGCGATTCTGGACTGGAGTTCAGTGAAATTATTTAACATTAATGATGTCTTACAAAGGTCCCAGAGAGAGTCTATACCCAGATCCAATTGAGATTCTGTGGCAAGGCTTCAACATAAATTAAATTGTTGTCCATCCAACGGTCTAGGCATTAGGCTATGATTAAAAGAAGAACGGGCAAAGCAAATTTTCTCTCTAGAAGTTGGTGAGACACGCCCAAAAAGACTCAATTGTTGTGAACTGTTCAGTGTTTACACAGTGACCTGAAGACAAATGCATGGCAGTGTTATTTGTGATTTTGAAACAACTGTTTCCATCTACTTAGTGCTACTTTGTATTTGTCTGTTACATGAAATATGCTGAAGTAATGCAAAAAAAGTTGAAGGAGTATAAGTATGTATGTGGGAAGCTAATAAACTATACTTAGATTTCAGTCCAGACTATGTGCATCGACCAAGGGAGAATCTGATGAATAAGAAATGATATCAAATGGAGGGTTCCTAATTGTTGGCAGCCTGCATGAATGTTTCAAAATCAGGGAGGCTGTGAGTGGATAAACACACTTTAACAGAATAGATACAACATCTGTTACAGAGGTGAGATGAACGAACAAACCTGAAAGGGGGAACGAGGGTTTTGGTTTTGGAAGAAAGCAGATCACAGTGGGAGGTTGTTGTAGAGTAGATAAAAGCATGCAGAGGTGGAATGGATGAGATGATGGCTTTAAGGCTGAGTAACACTGACGCATCCAGGGAGCAGAAGAAATGGAGGGTCGTCTGTCCTGTGGAGGTTTTACTGCCGAAGACACACTCACCATTTATGAGTAAACTCTTGAGGTAAAGAAGCTCTTGCCGGAAGAATCACAAGTTCATCCTAGTATTTCTGAGTAGTTGATCGGCTAATTTGTTTCTGGGCATTACCGACGAGTGCAGGCAACTTACTGTGGCTGGATTCAGCATAAAGTCAGTTCTGTAGAGTCTAAGTGGAAGAAAAACTTCAAAGTGTTAGACAGTGAACTTCACAAGTGTTCACTGGTTTGAAAATCATTTACTAATGAGAGGCTTTTCCAGTTTTATATGCTTCCCTGACAAGCGCAGTACTTTTTTCCCCTGCAATAATTGTTTTAATGCATTTTTGTTTTCTGTCCTTCCTCATTCATTCTTTGCACCCCTCCCCTCCTCTTGCTGGGCGTGTGCTGTGGTGCGAGGCAGCTGCAGCGTTTTCAGCGCCGACTGTCTCGTGCATGTCAATTCAGCCTGCCAGCTCGGTCTCGGGGCTGCTCTTTTAATCTTCACTTTTTCAGCACAGAGTGCTGTACTAAAGTGTGGTCTGTCATTGTCAGCATGGACTCTCGCTTCTTATTCTACTTCTTATGACAGTTCTCTCTTGCTCTTCTTCTAGTTTGCTCTCTTCTCAGCTTCCTTGTTGTGTCATCTTTATTTTCCGCTCCAACCCATCAGTCACTTCCTCCTCTCTGCGCTTGTTGACCAGCCCTGTTGAAACTGAGTCAGAACTGAAAGACCCTGCAGCCTCAATTTCTAATTCATCCTGTGAGCTGATTCATACGTCCGTGGGAGCCCTGCTGCATTTTGTGGGACGCTTTTAACGAGGAGAAACTTCAAATAGAAACTCAGCCTTCAATTTTATGTTTTTATTTGTTGCTTGAATATTGTAACCCTTAATCTCTCTGGATTTTTCGTCATCTAGTCACTTGTATGAGTGTTTGGTGTGTGTAGATGTCACATTCAGTGGGTACAAAAAGTCTATACACCCTGTTAAATTGCTTGATTTTGACCAGTAAGGGGTGCTATGTAAATAGGTTACTTCCTTTTCAAAACTTTTGATAAGGAAGTGACCTTATCAAAAGGTCAATATAACCTTCAAAGGTTATATTTGACCTATAACCTGTAAAGCTAGGCTGAAAAACAGATTTTTTTTCAGACTGAGAATTAAAAAATTAAAAATAAAAAAACATAACAAAACTTGGTTAATATGAGTGCATACCTGGGTGACTGCATTCAGAACAAATCACTATTTTAAAACTCATTTTAAGTAGAAGACCTGCAGAAAGCTTTCATTGCAGCAAAAGGACTGAGTGGACAAAAAGTGTCAGTCATTTGCTTTGTTTAAAAGTTAGTTGTGTGGCTTTGTGTATTTGGTTAATGCAGAAAACAAACCTTTTATGTTTTATTCACTTATTAGATACTGTAATTTATCTATTTCACTTCTTTATTTAAGTAATTGTAACTGGGTTTTTTTTTTCGTTACATGTCATTCATAATGCACGTGTGCAACTGGGTAAAAAAAAAAAGTCACATGTGATAGCTGTCATTTTATTCATGTGGATTTGACATAAAACTCAAAATGGCATTTAATGTACCAATACCAGCAGATGAAAAATCAATACTTTGTGAGAAAAGAATATTGGTAAATATTGTAGGGTTGATTAAATTACACAGTCCTATTTCTTGCTGTATTTAGCGACATTTCATGCAGAAAAATTGGTATCGGTTAAAATCGGAATCGGCATGTTAGGCTTTTTGAAAGATTGGTAGTCACCGATCAGCCAGAAAACTGCAATTGGTGCACCCCTGTTTTTTATATGTCTGAGCTATCAGGATGGGTGACAGAAAAACAGGCAGAAAATCATTCAAGCCCCTCGTAAACATATTTAAAGTCAACCAAAAGCACTTGCGGGAAAATGTGTTCTAGTCTGAGTCAAAGTTTGGACCTTTTGTCTCTGACTGCAATAGGAATGTGCAGAAACACAGTGAAGTGTGATGGTGATTCATGCTTTGAACATATTGTTTTTTATATTCGTCTTTTACTGGGTGGAGGGGATTATGAGCAATTCAAAATACCAGTGTTCAGACTTATCATATCAACCCAGAGCATAGATCCAGAAAAATGTCAAAGTTATGTAATGACCCAGACATAGCCCAACACTAAATAGATTAATAATGTGGTAAGATTTATAGAGGGGTGTGCCGAAAAGATTTTCTCGTAATTTGACAAATCTAGATTTTGGCAAAGAATGAGAAAATTGTCCCAAATTAAAAAGTTCCATGCTGATAGAATCCTATCCAAAAAGAACCCAAAAAGTTTTTCTCTTATATTCCACAGTTTGTAGGTCACATCAAAAGGGAAAAAGTTAATCTGTCACGATCTTATAAAAGTCTTCTAACCTAGAAACTTGACACCACAAATGTTAAGAGACGCAAACCCCCAGAAGCGCTAATAACTAGTTTTTACTGGCAGCTTTCACAACTTCCATAAATCTGCTGCAGCCATATTGGACACACAACTGAGGGTTGACTGTGGAGCTCCAACTTAATGGGATGCTCTTTCCCTACTGGGAACTCTGAAAATCCCCCTCTAGACTACAAAACAACCCAAAATCAGTTGTTCTTTTGGCCTTCTGAAGCAAAGATGTTAAGTTTGCCTCACAAAATAAAAAGTAACATGTTATTAAAATGGATGGCACAAATGTTCCAGGCATTTGTTTAATGCCTATTAAATCCTATTATATCTAATCACAACTGAATGTGCCAACATCTTTGATGTGGTCCATTTATGGCCAGTGACTGCCAACAGTTCAGTTTGTGTCAGCTGTTCCAGCCCTATTCAAACCATCTGTGAAAAAATTAAAGTTGTTTGGTTGTTGGAGGACACACAGTTCTTGCCATCTTTATTTACAAAGCCACCATTGAGGCTTAAATAAACTATATCAACTATAAGCATGTTGATTTACTTTTACGTTCACTGAGCCAAATTCCAGCAGTAGGGGTTTTTGTTTTTCGCCCAACAAAAGCAAACTTTATTTATAGCAATTTACTTGTATGATTTGGCAGGTTTTTTTCTTGTTATTTTTAGCGGCTCATTTCTGCTAAAATATAATGACAAACTGTCCATAGACTGTGACGGTTTCTCAGTTTTGTGTTTTTTCTGGTAATATTCACAAATGACCAGTTAGGACGTAATGTGCCACAAAAATATTTACCCATTTTCATCCAAATAAAAATTTTCTGAAACTAAGCAAATTTTAACGTCAGACAAAGATACACCGAGTAAAAAGCTGTTTTAAATGTTGGTAGATTTGAATGCTTGCCTTATCATTCAGTGTTTGTTTAAATTAATTCATTGTGTGTTTCTGTTTTTGGATTCAACAAGTTTAGATGTTTACTGAAAAATGGTGATGGTGATATACTTCTGGTGATCTTTTAAGAAAAATCCACTGATTTTAAAAATTTCTTTTTTTTTTTTTCTTTTCCACTTTTCAGACGAAACCTCACCAAGCTGTCGTTGATCTTCAGTCACATGCTGGCTGAGCTGAAAGCCATTTTCCCCAATGGCCTGTTTCAAGGTGACAACTTCCGCATAACCAAAGCTGATGCTGCAGAGTTCTGGAGGCGCGCCTTTGGGGACAAGTAAGAACCATCGTTTTTGTCTTTTTATGGTGGAGTTATTCATGTAGCACAGGTATAACCCATATGGACCTAAAATGTGTCAGTATATGTACTGGTATTTATTGCAGTGATAAAGTTACCAGTAAAAACTTGCTAGTTCAGCACAGTCTTATTGTATATAGATCCTAAACCAAAATGGTGTTCTAAAAATAAACATCAGCTAGACTATTTGAGCTCACCGGCCACATTTAAGAAGAAGTTAAGAAAAGTGATGACGGTATGAGTCAGCAAAAAGTCAGATTTTGGGGGTTTGGAAACATCTTCAGCGAGTTTATTATTACAGTATGAAAATGATATTGGAACCAAATGATATCCTCCCCAGCTTTGCTCTAACGTACCTGTCTTTAATCAAATTGTCTACAAAGAGGCAGATTCCAGACTGTTTTTAAAAGCACAACAGGGAGCCATCACAACATTTGCACTTATGCATTAGATAACATTAAGTTCAGCCACTGTTCAATGTAGCCATGGACATTTCAGCAATTCAGTTAGTGTTCACATAACTCTTGTTATACCATAGCGTTTCCATAGCATTTCAATTTTTCCTCTATTATATTTCCAATGAGAATTAAGTGAACTGGACAACAAGATGAATTCAGTTCATTCTAGTAAACTTTTATAACATTAGTTTACAACATCACAAAACAAATGGATACGATTTATGTGATTACAAAAACAAAATCCAGTGAAGAGTAAACTCTATTTAGTTTATTCAATTATAGTCATATTGTACAGTTCAATTAATTCAGAATATAGAAGTGGTAAACTTCAGTTGATTGTGTAGCGGTCTAGTGACTCTCAGATGTTTGCTTCAAGTCACTGACATTACAGCAATCTCTCCTCCTGTGAAGAAAGTTGCGACAGTGGAGAGGAAGGTTGTTCCTGTCAACTTCCTCCTGACAGGAACAACCTTCCAGTAGAACCAGGCTCGGGATGAGCAGGCTTCTGCAGAGTCAAGAACTTATTTTCACATTACAGCAGACTACTAATCCGGATTTAAAACAAGACTGGAACTGTTTTAGCTTGTTTTTTAAGCGTAAGCTTTAAGCACAACGTTATCCAAAGCTCTTGTAAATGTATGATTGTCGGTCTGTTCCCAGAACCATTGTGCCTTGGAAGGTGTTCCGACAGTCTCTCCATGAGTTTCATAACATCAGCTCTGGTCTGGAGGCCATGGCTCTCAAATCCACCATAGATCTTACCTGCAACGATTATATCTCAGTGTTTGAGTTCGACATCTTCACTCGGCTATTCCAGGTAGAAACTCCACACAAACATGCTATGCACCTTTCAAGTATTTTTAAAAAAAAGTCATTTATTCATCAGTATTCTTGTCCAGTCATGAAATGGAAGTTAAAACGCCCCTCCTACATTTTGTGAAACATTATTGTACCTTTTGATTTTCATTTGCTTACACAATTTTGTTGATTTTTTTTTTTAGTTTTGCATATACATATCAGGAAAAAATAGTAAACATTGAAATATTGACAATCCTAAATACAAGCTGTTAAATTCAAGATATTTTCACACTTTGTTACAAGCAATAACATTTTGTCACAAGTTTATATTGCACATGCATGGGTTGATGTTGAACAGCACATATACATTTTTTCATCAGTATTAAAATAAACGTGTTACAACTGTTAAAAATAATGGTAAGAAAAGGCCCTAGTAAACATGCTTACCTTTCTAAGTTACACACGTCTTCTTGTATCATAAACCACTGTTATGCTGTAGTGTCATTTATCCCTGGGTGACATTATCCCTTGGAACTTGTGCGCAAAGCTCTGACAGGCTTAATGAAGCCTAAACAGATTAGACGTTTCCTCCCCCAAACAAAAAAAGATCTCCTCTTAACCTCCTCAGACTCGGAGGAAGTAACTCCGAGACCATTTTGTTCTTAACCTATTGACACTGTGTAAAAGATTAGTAGTAGTTGTATATTTATGTAAAATAATGTAAAAGTGTGTGCAGCATAAAGAAAACCAAAAATTAAAAGTACAGTTTGTTCAATTAACATTTTTTGTGAAAGTTGTTTGAGCAAGATGGTGTATAATTAGGTTAGCATGAGGCCTGCAAGAAGAAATGACGCACTCTGACTGAACAAGACAGTTCAGTCGCTTCCTGTGTGGGAGAACTATAAAAAACAAGCCACGAGTTTTAATATAAGCTGATTTGTCCGAGCCACAGGAAACATTTAATCTCATTGCTGAGAACACCTGAAGCCTTTTCCATGTCCCTGTTGGGTTCATGAATGTCCATTCATGCCTAAAATACTTTCACTGACTCAACAACTCAATGGATTTGTGTCAAAATGTCCACTTTAAGGTCACTCATGTTTGAAGACATGATTTTACATATGAGGCCTGGTTATTACAGGTTTTTAAAACTAAGTACATCCTCACATGAACAGCGTCACTTCTCAAACTTGTTATAAAAGGCCAAAAATGAACATGTAAAAAGGAAGTAAAAAGAAAGCAGTTTTCTCCTAAGAGCCAGTCCAAGCAACTTTTGGAGTCATGCAGTTATGTGCTTTAATATTTTAATATGCTAAGTGATCTATTTGAAGCTCAAGATGGCACTTGGCTTTCTGCAGTTTCTCTGGGCATTGCTTATTCTGGATAAGTGGTGAACTCGTTGAAAAGGCGGGGTCATAAATACTCTTTTTCCTCATTGTAGAATGACAGAATCCCAAAGTTTACCAATGGCCCACTCAGTTAAAATGTGTCATATACATTAAAGCCTCGAACATTCAAATGGCTTAACTGGTGTTTGAAACTTCAGCAAGATTTACAATCTTCTTTGGAACCCACGGCTCGATTCTGGCTGCATATTTTAACCACTAAAACCACTAAAAACTGGGCCTGCGTCAGAAATCCAATCCTTGTAGGTTTTGAATTTTTGCTTGGATTGAAACCAGTGAGTCCAGAAGACCACCTCAAAAGCCAACTGTGCCTTTGTTTGTCGGTGTTTGTATAACTTTGATCATGTGTAGAAAATACACAGTTCAAATTAAAGCTCAAGCTTTTTCTTTTAAACTCCTAGTGGTATGATGTATCATAAGGAACTTTAAAACGCATAAAGTCCTAAATCAACGTGAATAATGAGGGCATGTAAACTTTCCGGCCTGAATTGCGTATAGTTTGATTTACGGACAGTATGGAAAATCTCTCTTTTACTTCATCGTGTGCCTTTAAACTCTGCAAGCTCATCTACCATTAAACATAATGACTCTGGCTGGATCCGCCTATAAATCCCACTGATGTCCACTGAACAAAACCCATGCGTGTTGCAATATGCAGCATTTCTCCTTACTCCATTTCAGCTCTTTAGTACTGTGTCCATTCACTCACACATTATGACTCACTCTGCCTTTCTCCTATGACCGTTCTCTCTCTCTCCCTCTCTCTGTGTGTGTGTGTGTGTGTATGCCTGTGTGCGTGGGCAGCCTTGGTCATCCCTGCTGCGAAACTGGAACAGCTTGGCTGTTACTCACCCAGGGTACATGGCCTTCCTCACATATGATGAGGTCAAAGCTCGGCTGCAGAAATTCATCCACAAGCCTGGCAGGTGAGAACCACTCTGTGCACAAACACATCTAGAAGACAAATAACATCCATCATATGAAGAAAAGTTTCGGCTTTTGTTTCCTTTGACTTGTTTCTACTGACTATTGCACAGACGCAGGTTTGCTGTCGCTCTCAGATCTTATTTTTAATGAAGCTCCTTCATCGGTCCATGTTTGCATCAAGTATCACAGCTTAAATCCTGGTGACGGATTCTTAAGCCTTACATGCTATATTTTGTGTGGGTGTGTTTGGAGCTGAGTCCAAAGAGCCCAGGGCGGCGTGGCGCTGGTACCTTACATCAATGGCCTGATTGTGCATTGGAAGTTGATGTCACTCTTCAGGCCTGGCCAGCTTAAGGCCACATCAACACCAGAGCACTTACTGGTCGATGTAAAAGCTGCTTTTTACACTTCAATCCAGTGCAATCCAGAGCTCCCAAATGGCCGTGCTTTTTTGTCTTTTTTTGTTTTTCTGTCCAACTAGCTGTAGTGAGCTGATGCAAGTCTTTTCTTGCTAGCTTACATCAGTCACAAAATGCTTCAAACCCATCCTGCTTCACTGTCTCAGCGAGACCAGTTCAACTTTATTTCTTCCTAATAATAAAAGATTTCCCAACTTGAGGCTAGACGGCACATCAAGCCCAGAAACCTCAGGCTCTTGCTGACTCATCTGAAGCTCCTCTTTCACTTTGTTTTATTGTTAGATTTCCTCTTTCTGTTTTCATGTTTCAAAACAGGTTTTTTTTATTATTGAAAAGTTTCAGCAAAGTGTATCAGAGTCACATCCTCTTTTTCTGTTTAGGCTTAATCACATTTTATAATGATGTGATTAAGTTTATGTTTATATTTAATATAAACTTGTAAAACTTGCGTTGATTTTATTAAATGTCTTAGCCACAGCGAGCACTTTCTCTAGGGAGCATTGTAAGTTGTTCTTAATTCATTGCCAGCTGATGTCTTCACATTTAAAAACAAGAGTTCTTTGTTGTATGTCCCAATAGGCCAGATTATTGTTTTAACTGTTGATTTATAATAGTAACAGTACTGTCTCATCTTTCTTGTTGCTGTATTTAATTTTGCAGAAACCTTATATTTTTTTAAACATAACATAAAGCACTAATAAAACCGATAGTGTCGTTATTACATGTCAACCCCTGAACATTGAATCTTCATAGTGCAATCAGTACTTATAAAATCCCAGTGTTAGTTACAAAAAATGGAACTATGTTCAATTGTACAGCATACATCTCACAGTAACTTCAGAAACATCAAATTATTTGACTGGGTAATAAACAAATTGTCATCCAGAAAGAAAATGCAACTAGGATAGTTTAACTTTGTTTCAAGTTAATTAGCCTCTACAGTCGATAAATGTGAACACAAAGACTGAATCCAGCAATTGAATCAAAAAAATGGTTCAACAAAACTGTCCTTTCATTTAGATTAATGTGAATGTGAAAGAAATAAAGGTTACGTTTCTACCACTAATCTGGACCATAATTCACAAATAACTGTATTCAGTAGTTTGTCTTATAATCTACGGAGCTCCATGCAAAAGTTTTGCAAGGGAACGCAAAAGAAAAAAACATTCCCCATGTCCCCTACGGGGCTCCGTAATAATCCTTGATCAGTTTGTGTACTCATATTACTTGTCTTCAGTGTCTGGTATTTATTTGTATACTTTTTTCAAATGACTTGATACATTTTCGTCTCTCTCCCCAGTTACATCTTCCGACTGAGTTGCACTCGACTGGGCCAGTGGGCCATCGGTTACGTGACAGCCGATGGGAATATTCTCCAAACCATTCCCCACAATAAGCCCCTCTTCCAGGCCCTCATTGATGGTTTCAGAGAAGGCTTGTAAGTTCCCTTTTTGTTTGACTAATTTATATCTGTTGTGGTTTTTTTATCTAGATTTCTGAGCTTTGTCTCTGCATTCAGTTTGTACCCTTCAGATCTTCCCTGTTGTTGTTTTTTTTTCCTTGTCATTTCTTTTGTTGTTCTATTAAGTGTGTCTCTGTGTGAACTTGGTTACCCCCTTTCTTTGGAGCCTTCGATTGAATCTGCCTCTCAGCTTCAAGTGAATCCAGGCATATCATCTAGCTCGCCACCGCCAACCCTCTCGTCACCACACTGTTATCATAACCAGAGCAGAACCATTGATTTCTAATGCGGACCTCAGTCGGTGGTTTATCCGGCTGGCTTGAAACCCGTCTTTTCCTGCCAGTGGTGATTCTTGTGTTTAATGAAAACTGTGTTTGGCCTGTCCTAACCTGCAATCAAACTCCGATTTGAGCTGGGAAAGCCTGTAAAGTATACGGCCTATGTCTACAAAACATTTATCAGATGGTAATTACAGCGTCCAACTCATTTGTAAAATTGTCTTGTACTGTATATGCAGCAACTTGCGCAAAGTAAATGAACTCAACAGATGTTTTTATCACCGCAGCTTGTTGGGTACACAAGTGGTATAATCACTGTAATAACAATAATTAGTTTTAAATTAAAACAATGTTTTGTGTGGGTACATTTTCATTTTGTTTTTCGTACCCCCAGCTATTTATTCCCAGATGGCCGGACTCAGAACCCCGACCTGACGGGTCTGTGTGAGCCTTCACCTCAAGACCACATTAAAGTCACACAGGTGAGAGCCATGCACATACCAGACTGTGTCTGTGTTTACCCAGAACTCTTTGTTGGAGGGTTTTTTTGTGTATTTACGTTGCCTTTTATTATTTTATTAAAAATGGTTTATTTCAAGAAAATATATCTTCAACAGTGCTTTGAGAGACTGAGTACCACAATCAAATATAATCTAAATAAAACTGAGATAAAAACACAGTCAATAATTAAACACAGAATTACACATGCCAAGTGACTTTGCTGTAACACCTAAATAGAAAGTGCATACTGTTCTTGCAAAAAATAAATAAATCTACATTGTACTTCTTTTCCCTTTAAATACTTGTGTTCATTAGATTTAGTTTATTAAGGATAGTCCTTTATTAATCTCACTCTGCTGCTATTACAGCAGCAGAATACCAAAACATACCCATTTGAATATGAAACTATCAAAAAATAAAATGAGCAACTATATGACAGTACCTGCAGCTAAAATGAAATAAAAATTAACTAGACACGTTTTATTTATTTATTTTTTTAAATAAAATCTTAAGAAGAATTGTGCAAACAATAAACATGTTTAATGCATTAATTTCCAGTTTTATTTAAATGACTGCTTATACAAATTATGTCTTCATGTATTGAATTGTGGCTTTTTCGGTCCTCAAATTTCAGTGTCTGTTTCCTTCAGAAAGACAAAGAATTATTTTTTCTTTCATTTTTTGTTTCTCATTTAGTACATATAAACTTTAAGGTTCACAACATTTTTAGCGAGAAAGCTGCATAACGGAAATGTATGAAAAGCAGTTTTTGCCTCGGTTCTTGTCGACCTTATCTCTGCATCAGCGCAGAACCGAAACTCGGCGTACGTCCCCTGGCTCTAACTGATCGCTCCCCCTCCTCCCAGGCTCTGCTCAGCAGGATCTCAGTTCTCTGTGATGTTACTGTCTTCTCATGGCTTTTTTTTTTTTTTTGTTCTCGCCCTCAGGAGCAATATGAGCTGTACTGTGAGATGGGCTCCACTTTCCAGCTCTGTAAAATCTGTGCGGAGAATGACAAAGATGTGAAGATCGAGCCTTGTGGTCATCTCATGTGCACTTCCTGTCTCACCTCCTGGCAGGTACAAGAGTGGGAGGAAGCAAAGGGTTTTGAGTTGGTGGGCTTGCATGTCACAGGTGATGGTTAGCGCTCTTACACCACTCTGGAAGAGTGTAGCTTTGAGTTCATCTTTCCAAGTACGAGTGGGTAAAATAAACTGTGGCACAATGTTTGCATTTGCACAGTGTTCCATATTTATTTTCATGACTCATTCATTTTATTTTATTTTTCTTATATTTATAATTTTTTTCACAGCTCATTATTTTCATTGCTCATAATTTTTTACTATTGTTTTTTTATTTTTTTCTTCGTTATTTTATGTACAGATATTCCTTTCATCTCCATTGTTCCTTAGCCTTTAGTTGGACAAATTAAAACTTCGGTGTTGGCCGAACCTTTTGCCTGCTTTGGGTTTTGAGTTACAGACGTGAATGAAAGGAAAATGCACTCTATCAAAAACAGACGGTGGCTTTTCTCTGCTTGTCTCATCTATCTGGCATAATATTTAAAGCTGGATTTGGTTTCTGTTTTTTATGTTGTTGTTTTATTTATTTATTTATTTTTTACCAAACAACTCTTCTGTATGTAGTAGAACATAATTAAGTCTGCGTTTATTTGTTGTACGTTCTAAGCTCAAGCTGAGTTAACTTTGTTTAGGTGGAAAAAAGAAACCCACTGCAGAATCAAAAGCTAACTTTAGCTTTCATGATTTGTGTAACATCCGAATAATAAAACCCAAGTAAACATTTTTTATTCGCCTTTCCCAAGCCAAGTGTCTTCTGGGAAAAATCTATAAATCTGTTTTTGGAAATGGAAAAGCTGTATCGTCATTCCAAGGTGGATTTACTGAAGAGCTCTTCAGCATGTTGATAAAGTTTCCAGCTTCTTGTCAGCTTGTCTTTACTCCCCCTTTCTGCCTGCGCTCCAGGAGTCGGAGGGTCAGGGAACGGGATGCCCCTTCTGTCGGTGTGAGATTAAAGGTACAGAGCCGATTGTCGTAGATCCTTTTGACCCCAAGGACAACAGCGGGGGCTCAAGTCGGGCCGCCATGGGAGCCGGGGGAGCTCCATCGCCAAGCTATGACGACGACGACGATGACAGACTTGAAGACCCCCACCTGGTAATGAGCAAACTTGCTGGCACAAAGGTAAGATTGTGGAAAAAGATTGAGGTAATTAATTTTTTGTTGTTGTAATGAAAGCCCACAAGGGACTCTTCAAACCAATCTCTGTGTAGATAAAACACATTCTCACTTGTCATGTCTTCCTTTTCTGAGCTGAAAGCTCACATCTTTGGCCTTTCATCTCCATTGTTCCTGTTGCTAAAGAAGCAGCTTTTTTGAGTTAGAAAAGTTCAACATGTTTTATTGCCTTTGAGAAAATCTGTATACACTCTTTGTTTACAACCTGAGCTGCTTTGAGGTAACTTGATTATCATCTGATCGAGACTTTTCAGCAACTTCTGTACATGTAGTCATATAAAATATGACTATAATATGTGTTGGAACCATTTAATTTTTTTCTGCAAGTACGACAGTGACGTCAATGGATTGGATTTCATGGTTGCCTCTCTTGTCTCATCCAGGTGGAACGCCCCCCATCACCCATGTCCATGCCCCCTCAGTCATCTCTTCCCCCAGTGCCTCCCAGACTGGACTTGTTACCACACAGACCTCCAAACCCTCCTGGTGCCTCTAGTCCCGGGGCCACCAGTAAGGTAGCCAATTCATTTCAGTTCATTTGTACAGCACCAATTAACAGAAAAATGACTTCAGTCAAATTCTACGTACATTCCAATTGATCCTCTTTGTCAACAGTATAATAAGCTCAGTTATTCAAAGTGTTGATCATTTTCATCCAACGCCTTAGTTCAGATTAAAAATACAGTGTTGACTAATTACACAGATTTGGCATTATGAAACTGTCAGGGTTATATTAGTCTAAGGTTTTAAGAAAAATAAGTTCATCTTTAATTTGTTTATTTTATTCCTGCATATATACAAACTATTCACTATTGTTGTGATCCATTATCAGTTTTAATGCTCAACTCTCGGTCGAACCAGTTTTAAACACCTCCAAGCTCCTATCGTAGCAATTTCACATATCTTAACAGTTCTTGTTTTTAACTTCCTGTTTGGTTCAAATTCAGATAATTTACTCTGTTAGAGCAATACAAACCAGTCACATAGACTATCTGCATACATTTTTGTGAAATGCAACTCCAATTATTTATAAAAAATTTGGCTTCTTGCAGCTTTTTTTTGTAGAACTGTATGTAAAAGATTGAAAGAAAGTGCAGAGTATGTAGCTGAAAATACTTTGGTGCAGTGCTACTTGACACACTGAACTAGTATTTCTCCACATCAAAAACAAATATATTTTTTTACTTTTTCCCTGTTACTCTAATAAAAAAAAAACTTATGCAAATGAGGGTTTTGACTCTTATTTTCTCTTACTCGAATACCACAGCTACATGTCTTTGCTTATAAACAGAAAGTGCAGTTGGAAGATTAATTTTTTTCCCCCCTTGCTGTCATTCATCTTAATCCTCCTGATGATTGATGGTTTTCCTTCTAAGCTGATTATTTCCTGCATTGGAAAATAATTTTCTTTGGCTTTTGGTCTTTCTGGTGTTTCATCTAAAAGACCTCCTTCCATCTCTGTCGTCCCTCCAGGCGGCATCACATCACAAAGACAAGCCTCTTCCACTTCCCCCTGCACTGCGGGATCTCCCTCCGCCCCCTCCTCCAGACAGACCTCACACAGCCGGGGCGGCTCCAGAAGCTCGGCATCCGAGGCGGCCCCTACCCTGCACACCAGGGGAGCCCCTTCGAGATAAGCTCCCTCCCACTCCCCCGAACCGTCCTTTGGCTGACTGGAACTCCAGACCTGTTCCCAAAGCTCCAACCCCCTCTTCTTCATCATCTTCACCATCCTCCTCATCCACCCACGTGCCCAGCCTGGGGTGCGACCTCAGAGCAGGTGTCAGAGAGCTCTCCAACAGACACTCCCTCCCCTTGGCGCTGCCCTCTGCGCTGGACAACCGCGTGGACTCTCAGAAGAACAACAGCTCCCTCAGTCTGGACCACCAGCTGGTCAGAACCACCACACACACATTAAACATCTGATTTGTCTGATGTTTGTAAAAATTGTTCACTAAATACTTTGGATAGAATTTCCTAAATATAGACTTATTTTTGATGGGTCATTCATGACTAGAGCTTCCATAAATTTAGTCTTTAGCAGCCCAAGATTTATTTCTTGATGTCTTTTTTAATCATTAAACAGTTTAAACAATTGTTCTTTATGTTTCATACCATTTTTTGATGGTACTAGATTTTATTAGAAAAAGTTGATGAATGCTAGGTAAAAATTATACAGTAATTGTTCCTAATCTGCCTGTTAAAACTAAACTTGGCACATTTTTAAAAATTCTATGAAAGTGGCTGAAGCCAAGAAACACGGCCGAGTGTGGAGATGATTTTTGGAGGGGACAAAAATCATCTCTTGTGCAATATGAACACTCTGTGTTCATATTGCACAAGTCACATATTTGCAAAGCTGATTGACGCACTGAATCGGTGTTTGTCACAGTCAAACTCACTCTTCCAACTTCTGACTCACCTCGGGACCGGGCCTTGTGTCTGAATGAGGTGGTTTTATACTTGATCTCAAAATATTGGCAAATTAAGCAAACTTGCACAAAAATTTCAAAATTCACTCAGAAACTTAAAGATAGAACTTTTTTTTTAAAACTGAAACATTTATTACTATAGCTGGCTAAAACCTGTTTGTAAACATGGACACAGTTTTGTGAATTACTTTTTGCCTTATTTAGGTCAATGTCTAAACAAAGTTATTAATCAAATTTAAGGGATTTTTCATACACTTTAGCCATCAATGAAAATCACTTCTGTGGCTACAGCTGTGTAGCATCCTGCACTTAAGCGTGCAAACTGATTTCACAAACATTTGTGAAATAAAGGGTCATTTTCAGCATTGCAGTGTGATAAGATGCCACCTGAGCAAGAAGTCTGAATTTTCCATGCCACAAAACTTTCCACAGTCAACAGTTGGTGGAAGGAGGCAAATGGGAACGACAGCAACTCTGCCACAAAGTGGTAGGCCACATAAAATCAGAGTGCGGTTAGCAGGTGCTGAGGCACATAGTGTGAAGAGGTCACCAACTTTCTTCAGAGTTTGTAAAAATTGTTCACTAAATACTTTGGATAGAATTTTCTAAATAGGAACTTTAGTTTCAGTGAAAGAAACTCGTCAGCATAGCACAACATTTTGATTAATTTACCATATTGCTCCCAACTTTTGTTTGGGTACAGTTTGTGAATAGTTCCTTCGTGTTACCACGTTACAGCGCACCAGTGCAAAAAGAATAGTCCATAAAGACAGACGAGCAGGTTTAATGCAGAAGAGTCCTGACCTCAATCTGACAGAATAATGTTGGGATTATTAAAGGAGAGAAAGTGAGCCAGTCCTTTTGGAAAGCCTTCCATCATACCCTGAGTGTTCTTCAAAAACTGCAGGAAGAAACAAACCTCACAGCTGTCTTCTGACATAATCCGGCATCACAGATACTTAATACGGTCCGATTCTTCTTTAAAAACCTAAAAGACCAACTCTGCTCCTTGTTTATTCACTCAGCTGCCCTGTTTGGTGCCCTAACGTCCCTGTTACTCTGTCAGCTTCAGCCTTACAGCCTTCAAGAGTCTACTGAGTTTCCTCATTTTTCTCTCTCATTTTTTGAAGTTATTTGGCATATTTGATAAGAGCAAGCAGGCATCGCTCTCCTTGGATGACTCTGAATAAAGTTTCAGTCTTTTCCTCCTCAATCACTCCTCAAACCAGAACTTTTTTATGCGTCTTTACGAAATGTCTGACTCTGAACACTCTCTAATCATTCCTGGGCTGCTCAGTTTGTTCTTCTGCAACCATAATTTTCATCTCGGGAACATTCATGGGGGTTAGGGAAGAAACTAAATAATATGCAGAATTGTAAAACCTTTGATGGAATTTTACATCCGTATTGCCAATAGTCATTTTCACGTATCACATAATGATATTTTATAAATATTGACATGTTGATCTAACCCTCCCATAAAGGCTTTCATGTCAATACTTCTGGGAAAAGAATACATCGAATTATAATTGTTTTAAAAGTCTTGCATAGTTCTAAGTCTTGCATAGTTCTAAGTTATTAAAAGTTGCAAAACTTTAAACACCTGTATTATTTTTAATACATTTTTAATTGTTTTTATCTATTTTTTTGACTAACCACATCTGATTTGGCTGGTTAAAATCTCAGTCATCAAAAGATCTTTGAGCCCTCTACAGAGAATATCAGGCTCTACTGTCACATCATCACTCCTCTTCCTCCTTTAAGTCTCCTGCTGTATTTTAGTGCAATTCCTATTTTTCCAACATATGTTTATCCTAATCCTTTCCTAATCAGACATTCCATAATGTTTATTTCTCTATTATGAGGCATAAGCTGGTCTTTCTAGTTGCAACAGAAATTGGCAGAAAAAGCTCTCTGTGTGGTCCTGATAATAACATGTCTGTCTTAAAGAGTGCGTTGCTGAGATTGAGCTTTCCTTCAGCAAAGAAATCTGATCACATCTGTGGTTTCCAAGAGTCAGTAACATGCAACTCGGAAGTAGTCTGCACCTTTTCGTGAAAACACACGTGCTGTTTCTTATAAATGAAATTGAAAAGCTACACTTTTGAAAACCTCTTTTTGTACTTCAGATCTCATCTAAACTTCATTTTCAATATTCGCCCTCAGTAGTCTCGTAAATGTAAAATTGGAAGGAGTTTCTGAAACTGAGAATATGACAAGCATCCCTTTATTATAAAGGTTGACAAAGGAGAAATAAATGAAAGTATCTCTAAAATTAACTGCTCACCCAATAATAAATAGTAAAATGAGTCCATCTAATTGCTACCTTGATTTTTTTATTTACTAGAAACATTGTGTGCTTTTAAGAAAACCTATTTAAATAAAATAAACAACACTTAGCCTGGTGGGGAGGCAAATAAAGCCTGGTGGGTTGCCAGGCTTATGATGCACTGGATGAAACCCTTCAGTTCTAACCGGCTCTCCAGTTTTGGCAGAAAAAAGCACGGCCCTAAGTTCTAGCTTTTAATTATCTCGTTTTAAATGTTCACTTTTTTGGGGTGAAGTAACTAAAACTGGTGAAATCTGTTTCCTCCTTCAGAGTTTTGCTCCAATAGTTTCTCAAGATTATGACAACCCCAAAGTGAAACCATCAGTCTCGGCCAATGCCATCTACGCACTGGCAAACAGGTATGACCCTGAGGTTACTTACCATGCACACCTGTGATCTGGAAGCTGTACACGATGTTACCTCTTAAAGAGTCTTTTAATATTCTCATACTGTCTGTTCCCAGACCGTCTCTAGGTTTGAGGCAAGTGCCTGGAGAAGAGGGGTGTGAGAGCGAGGAAGACTCTGAGTACATGATCCCTTCATCTCGCCCCATTGCTGTCCCATCAGTACCAGACACCCTGCAAGTCCAAAGGCCCCCACAGCCTCAACCGCTAACTGCTCTGCAGGCACAGCCTCAAGCCCCTGCAGTCAACTCGCGGTATTCAAACCTTCCTAAAGGCACTTGAGAAAAGATCTCGTCATGGTCTGAGCTTTAAACCCGTCATTTGTTGTCGTAGGCTCACACAAGGTGCAGAAGATGGGCTGATATCGCATGAACCCATGTACGGCGCCCAGCCGAGGTCACAACAAGCAAGAGATTCAGGTATTTTGTTCTAACCAGATGACCTCAAAATCCCCCTCAATTCCCTGTCTTAGAGGACTCTGATGCTGCAGTGTGAATATTTCTCGTAGTTTTATGATGAGATTAACTTCCATCCTCTCAGATTACTCAGAGCTGCCTCCCCTGTCGGTCACTAACGAGCCCAGAGACCTTGCAGCAGAGGACAGAGAGGAAGAGGAAAACGGCTACGACTTCCCAAAGCCTCGGCTACCGCAGCCCCCTGCTCGGCGGACCTTTTCAGAAATGGGGGGGTCTCTGTCATCATCTTCATCCTCCTCATCGTCATGCTCGTCCTCTGTCGCACCCTTTAGCCGCCTTTCCCTAGATTCAGATTTTGGAGCTGCAGCATGTAAGTTTCTCACAGCAGCAAAGTATACATGAGTTTTGATCCATATACTGGCCCTTTGATGCATATTTAGTGGGGTTGTTTTAGATAGGTTCACTGGTTACTCTGGTGAGATAGGAAAATCCTTCTTTGAAAACTCTACATGTCCATTTACAGGATCAGTCACCAGATATTACACATTAGTTTCTCTAACCAGCAGAGGTTCTTTAGGTGCCTCAGCTGAAAGTGTTTTCAGATCAATGTCAATCAAGTTCTGACTAGTTTTGCAGGAATTATTTGACTTCTGTTTCATATGAAACTAAACAACAAACATATTAATATCCTGAGTAGAAGCGACCCCTGAAATTTACTCCAGTGTGTGCCATGATGTGGCTTCTCACTCCAGTAACAGAAAGGTGTTGCAAAACGCTAACACAAATCCTGAGTTGCAACTGGGAACTGGGTGTTCCAGTCGAGAAGTCAACTGGAACACCCTTTAAAGTTGGATTTTCCATTAGCAAACTGGGTCCAACTCCAGCTATGACTTTCTGTTTCTATATGGCCGGTCCTCATATCAACAATAGTCAGCTGTGGTGGAAACATGAAAGAGTGCGTTATATGCAGCACCTGCATCTATGAACTGAACAAGTCAAACATGGTATTTGCTTTTAGAAAGTAAGGCTTAAAATTAGAGATAATGCAAATAATATTTGTGGGTGTTGCCTTGTTGAAATTCCCACTTCTTAACTGTCATCTCAATTGTTCCCACTTCCACGATGATGCTGAAATGCAACGTTATCGCGGTGCATTTGATTGGAGAAAGATAGGATTTTTGAGGTTCCGACCCACCCAATTCTCTGCATCTCTGAGAAACAAAACACAGCAGCGAAGCTGTGGCCAACTTGAGATGTTTTTATTGGTTAATTGTGTGACTTATGGCTGCCTCTGTAGGTCTGTGAAGCAGAAGCAGTTTTTTGTATCAATAATCCATCAGTGGTTTTCCAAAGACACACAAAGCATAAATTAGAAGTGTGCTACTTGCTTACTTATTACTGGAAAATGTTATCTTTTTTCATATCTAATGAAGAAATTAAAAGCAGGCAAGTTTAAAGATTTAGCCAAATTTTACCATCATTTGGTGAAGATATTGGCAAATATGGTGAAGGTGTGATTAAAAGACAATGGCATGTTATGCCTTTGCAAGCCTTGAGGTTTAGCCACAGTGCAGGAAGTCTATTCAGCAGTTGTTTCTTGATTTCTCAGGGTGATGTCTCTGTGCTGGGTTGACATTTACCACACACGGGCATTCTGCATGTTTGAATCTGTGAGCCAATTAAATCACCTTGCGTCAAGCCGACGAGCTCGCAGATTATAGCCGGCCCTCTTGCAGTGCTTTGTTAAATGTCACTGCAGTGGAAAGATGAAAAGGTTTCAGATTGTGTGAAAGGTCATGTCTCTTCCCTTAGACTTAATTATAATTACGAACCATCTTTTAAGTGTAGCGCCGTTTCCAGTTAAATAAATGATCTCTTCACATCGACCTTTAGTTGCTGTTCAAATCCAAACGCTTCCTCCTCCTCTTTTTCTTCCTCAGCTGCTTTAGAGCCAGCCGAAGCACCGGAGAGACCTCCAAAGCCGCTGCCCAGACGGATCAACTCGGAGCGCCGCCACAGCCCCGTCCCGCCTGTGCCCGCTCTGCCCAGCGGCGGCGCCGCGGGCGGGGAGGCCAACCCCCTGATCAGCAGCGAGATCGAGCACCTCATGAGTCAGGGGTACTCCTACCAGGACATCCAGAAAGCTCTGATGATTGCACAGAACAATATAGAAATGGCCAAGAACATCCTGCGTGAGTTCGTCTCTGTTCCCTCCACTGCCCACATTTTCACATAGCAGATCGTGGCGCCCACGAATCGCGGTTGGCTCTCTTCGCCCTAGCTTGGCTCAGCCTGGTTTGGTTTTGGTCGGTGCAGACCGACCAGAAAAGCCTACTGCCTCCAGGACCACGTAAAGTCCTGCCTGACGCCCCCCGCCCCTCTCCACCGAACCCGCCTGTGGTTTCTGACCTGGCTGTTACTCAGCAAGCTTACAGTATCTGCAGGAATCTGCGGCGGGCACGCCATGCGCTTTCAAAAGTCTCATGCTCTTTTTTTTTTTTTTCTTCTTCTTCGAGTGTTTGGTTTCAGGAGCATCTCCTCGGGACCGCCCAAACGCAGTGGCCCGAGACTTTCATAGGAATCTGCCGAAGACAAACTCTCATCTTTCATGTTGAAGTCTCTCGCTGAAAATATAATCAACACCTCACAAGGAAAACTAAAAGTGTATGTCTATATGAGAATTTAATATATAAGTAAGTATATATTAAATGTGTGTAATATATACAGTACGTGCATAAATAATATGTGAAAATGGTTCAGTTTGGAGGGTTGCTCTTGGTACCACTGCAGGGTTAGCGGGGGTGGGGGGACAGGAGTCGGATTACGGGAAGACAGGAAGGAAGAGGAAGTCGAATCGGGCGTCTTCCTCACCAGGATGCGTTAGTCAGCAGAACCTTGGAAAACGTGCAGCAGAGCTTTTCATCTTGACTTCAGTCGGATACGGCCTTTAATTAACATTGCTTTGGTACTTTTTTTTTTTTTTTTTGAAACAAAAAAAAGCAAGCGTTTTGTTTGTAGCATGATGATGGTTTCAGGTCTGGACATGTTGCTGGCTGCTTGTGTGTTTTGTGTACGTGAGCATGGTTGCCTGTGTGTGTGTGTGTGTGTGTGTGTGTGTGTGTGTGTGTGTGTGTGTGTGTGTGTGTGTGTGTGTGTGTGTGTGTGTGTGTGTGTGTGTGTGTGTGTGTGTGTTTGCCAGACTTTTTACTCCACTCGTCCTGCTCTCGGATGAACCCCCTCCCTCTCCTGTCCGTCTCAACATGAATGTGTACTCCAGTCCGCGTACTTGGACTCGCGCTCTGTTAATGTACTACTGCTCTAAGTTATAAGGCGGGGCCTGGCGTAGCTGCAGAGGTGCGTCCTGCAGCTAGCAGACCAGGCTAGTTGTTGTGTGATCTGTGGTGGCTCACATGTTTTCTTTCTGTTGTATGAACTCACTGGCTGGTCCGGGTTTCTGTCTCCAGCTGAGTCCAGTGTTACAAGACAAAAACGAAAAGAAAAAAAAACGTATTGACTTACTTTGATAATATATTGTTGTTATACGATCATAAATATTGTTGGTATAATTAATTCAGAAGTGTTTCACTGCTGCTATTATTGTTAGTGCTAAACAATTAAAGCCTTAAATGTACATTTGTGAATACTCTGTTTAACCGTCATCTTGTTTCTTTAAAGTGACAGTATCATTTGTCTTTCCTGTTCATAATGTAGCATACTTGAAGAGTATACGCAGCTCGTGAGCCCGCAGCCCTCTCAAGCTGTCGACCTGTTTTGTATTTTTAACCTTTGGTTCTGTTCTTTCTTTAGTGTATATACAAGGTTCCTACACAATTTTTGAAAAGTTTGAAATTTGATTTTTACATTTAAAGTTTGAGATATATTTGAGTTTCTAGACTATCATAAGTATTTCCATTATCTAAAGGAGAAAAATCTGAATATCAGGGAAAAAACAGGCTGTTTATACCTTAGGATTTCAGCATTTTTAAGTAAAATTTACAGAATAAATAATAAAGGGCTATTTAATGCCTTTTTGGTAACTGGTTCTGCATGATTTAAGAAATTCATAAAAGTGCTATGCTAATAATTGAACGCTGAACATTTTCAGCACTTTTCTGTAATCATGAAAAGCCCACCACTCTTTAAGCTTTCCTGTATAAGCACTGCATGAGTTGTGCTACTTCATTCATTCAGTTTCTACAAGCAAGTAAAAGATTAAATTACATGTAGGGATGATACAATTCAGATTCGACCAGTCTAGATGTTTTAGATGTTCAGAGACCCATTCAATGTTGGTCCAGAAGCCAAAACACTGAATCTAACAGGCAACTAAGTGGGTTCAACGTATACTTCCATGTTTTTTAAAGGTGGAAAGATTTCTATATATCCAGCATTATTTCTTTCTTAAAAGTGGAAAAAAGGTGAAGTTGCCACCTTTCTGCCAATCGGTTGCCAGGTGTGGGACGGGCTATGTTGCATTTCTTCCTAAAATAATTGTAGCAGGTTCTTTTCACAGCATTTTGGGCCCTCTGCCCTCCAACATCAGGGTCCTGTGGTTCCTAACCTGGGCAGAAAAAAAAACACAAGCTTATTTAAAGCAGATGATGTCACAGTTAAGTCAACAACAATCGGGTCTTGAAATCTTTTGCAGAATTCAAAGTAACATTTGTATTTATAAAGTGCACTAATGGGGAAAATAATAAAATAAAAAAAACTGTATTCTTAGTTGATACAATTTGTGTTGCTGCTCTACCATTTTTTAAAATTGACTTTCCGAAACATGCATGCCCAAATGATAGTTGGGGGTAAAAAGAACCTACAACCAGTATCTCAGATTGGGAATTGAATGTTTTTCACATATTTTGATTTAAAGCAGTGCAAACTTGATCCAGAATCCCAAAACACATTGAGCAAGTCTTTCCCCCTCTTTAAAATCTACCAACTAGTTAGTTCTCCTGTCAAAAATGTCTTTTTTTTGTTTGTTTGTTTTTTTGTGATTAGAAAAATATAGCCAAACCACCAAATTAGTCTTTCAATGAATGATAGAAGAAACCGTCTTTAAGGCAGTGAGCAGCAACAGATATAGGCCTTATGTGTCAGAGATTATGAAAAAGAGTTGATCAAAGACGACCCAGAAGCCAAAAAAGCTGTGAAATAACTCCTCTGCAAAATTGGAAGCCAACCTCAATGTTGTAGAATTTAACGATTTGTGAAATATAGAGATAATATAAGCTTAAAAATATGGACAGTAGTAATAATAAGCAAATGAGAATCGTTGCCAGTAGGAACCTTGTGTATATTAACAGTAACAAAGCAACCAAAATGCTTTTAAAGTTTTCGGTAAAAGACGAATGCTTTCTGTTGAGCTCTGCCTTCTCGTTTGCTCTGAAAAGAGGAGCGAGCGCTGAGGCTTTGCGTAGCGTAGACCCCTGGGTACGCTGGCCCCGCCCCACGGTCTACGGTAAAAAAAATCAGTATTTGGGCCGACTGTAACAACTAACTCAGGAATAAATGCTGTTGAAACGTGGAGCGGACTCTTTAGCACAGACAGCAGCTCACCTGTGTACAGCCAAAAGTAACTGCTTCTTAGTCACAGACTTGCACATTTTGTTTTTGTATCATTTCTCCAGTGTTCGCAGGAGCAGGAACAGCAGCTTTTTACTTCCAGGTACTCTGAATTTAAAGGATATAGTCACACAAACAGCTTGTAGGTACATTAACTTGAGGCTCTCCCAGTATATGAAGAATGTTTTTGGTGTTTTTATATTATTTTCTGATTGGGGGGTTGCCAAGTGGCCCCAGTTTGTCTTCACCTCTTCCGGCTGATGCTGTGTGTTGACTGGAAGCTCTCTCTGCGCTGTCTCTAGTTCTGTTTCATGTTTATTTCCTAGTTGCCTTGAGAAACTTCTTGAATGATGATGGACTGGGGTGGTCCGCAATCCTCAATACTGTACCGATGTTTCAAGAAGGCATTTGATTATGTATTATTAATTAATCTTTATTTTTGCACAGCATACCGATTTGTGCTTTGATACTGTCACTCTAAAGAACAGCTCATTGTATACATTTAAAGAAAGTCATTTTTGCATTCCTGTGCATTTTGTCCCAAAGGTTTTGTTTACTTGTTTGTTTTTCTTGACTTGTGCCATATGTTTAGAGAGAGAAAGAGAGAGATCACCGACGTCCTTACTTTTGTTTTGTTTTTTTAAAAAAGGCCTTGATATTCGAGGAGTGTTTGTGGGTCTCAATCTGTACCTGTTGGTCTTTGAAGGCAACATAGTGCAGTAATGCTTGCATCGATCTGTCCTCTGCCTCTTCAGCCGCATCTAGCCTCATCCCTCAAATGCTTCAGTGTCTTTTTTTCTCACTTTTTCCAGATCAGTTCTCAACCTCTGGATGCCCCAGATGCTCAGTGCTGTGCAATTTCAATATTCAACCAGGAGAGGGGGCTGTCGTTCTAATTTCCTCCCCCTAAACCTCAGTAAAAGAAAGGCATTCATTATTTTTTTTAATGGTTTTTAAAGCTCATATCAATTTGAAAATAGGCACATTGCTGTTAATAAAAGGTTAAGCAACCGCTTCGTGTCTTTGTTGTTGTTTTTTTATGTGTATATGAAAAGAAAAATTAAAATCAATAGTCATTACACAGTGATGAATTTCAATAGTTTATTTTTATGCGTTTTATTGATTAGCGAGCTCGAGCTGGATAAGTCAATAATTATTGTGATACTCACGTGATCAATATTAATACATAATACAGATCTCGCTTAACTGCACAGCATTCTGGGAGATGTAGGCAGAGGTCGTGAGAAGTGAGTGAGCGTCACCTCGCTCTGTGCCAGTCGACTGGTTGTTGCCTAGTAACGACCAGTCGCTTAGCTTCAGTTTCAGGTTAAACGGTTTTTACGTGAAAACTGGATGAAACGGGAACGGTTACGTCACCAGTTCAACGGCATTTCAGACATTTAAAACAACAAAGAAAAAGTTAACGGGCAATCATGAATATATAGACTGAAATGAAACGCTTATATTGTGGTAAGTCATTCAGCCACATCGGCCAACCCTAGCTTAAAATTTATGAAAACTAACAACGTTTGAATGTTTTATGAGACCGTTAGGTATTTTGTTACCTATTATTAAAGCTATTACCAATTGCTTTGGACACGCATGACTTTTAATGAGTGAAACATTTTAAAAAGATAAGATATTGTTGGGTGAACAATAATAGGTTGCAATTGCCACTGAAATTTACCTCAAAATGTAAAAAAAAAACAAAGGCTAAGTAAGAGCTTTGTGCAGGTTGTTAAACGTTTAAGGGTTTTATTGCAACTCATTGGGGTTTTTTTGTGTTTTTTTTTTTGTTTGTTTGTTTGTTTTTGCAACTTTTAGATCTCAGACAAAAATAAAGCGATTAAAGAGAATTTTAAAAAGTGTTATTTCATTACTTTGCTATAGAAACTTGATATTTTGTGAGTGCTGTATTCACAAAGTTTAGTGGAAGGATAAACTATCATTTTGCAAATCCAAAGCTGTATCAAATGTTTTTTGTCTCCATATTTGATTTAGCTTTTTTGCCTGATAAAAAGCATTTTTTTGGAAACCCAATTCCTACAGTTGACAGCCACAGAAGTCCAGTGTGAACCTCTCAAGTCAAAGACTAGAGGAGCCTGAATTAATTTTGAATTCATTTCCAGGCGGGATCTGGCTCCCACTCGTTTTAGGGATATTGTTTAGTAATAGTGTTATACATGGATCCAGTTATGTTTGACACTGGATTTATACATAAAGATCAGTGGAGCTTGCCCTTTTTTCTGAACTGACACCAAGAAGTTTGGAAGAAACCTCAGCAGAAATCCTCCAAAATGCATGAAGAGGTAAACTACACACAAAATTGATTACTTGAGAGCTACTTTTGTTTCATATGCTGCATTTAATGTTTAAGTTTCTTGTTTTCTAATGTATTTGGTAACTACATTATAAACCAAAATATGATTTGACCGCCGCCTTAAGCGGATCAAATGACAGTCTTCAAAGACGTTTATGCTGGGAAAGATACAGCTAAGAACCAATTTCTCATGCTTACAGCAGCAAGATAAAGATCCAGAATAGATTGTGACAGGAGAGTGAAGCATTTACAGATCTGAAGATTCAATACCTTTTCTTACTCAGATTATTTAATCTTGTATGTAGACTTTATATTCTGTGAAGAGGACACCGCTTAAAATAAATGATTGTGTTTGCTCCACTGAATTCAGTTGCTGTTTGTCCACTAAGATCAATGATTTAATCAGGTTACAAACATCATGTGTTTTAGCGTCAGACCAGTCCAGACACATTGAGGACCCAGGAGATTGCTGCCATGGTGATGATTATATTCACAGTGCTATCTTCTACAAATTGGGAATTTTTTAAAATTGTGTGTGCTCTTCTCCTGACTAAGTCATTTCAATGGTGAGATCACGTTGTTTCTTTATAATCTTTACATTTTACAATTAACAAGTAAAGCCAGTAAACTAATGATTTTTAGCCAGTAAACTCTCACTAAGACAGATGAATTTTAATTGTTTTGAAAATGATGCTTTACTGTCTAAAATGCCCATCAGAAAATTAATAATTAAATGTGATAAATGAATGATGCCAAGTAAGCCTGGCGGGCCACCAGGCTTTACTTGTGCCCCCACCAGGCTAAACATTGCTTCTTTATTTAAGTCTTTTGAAAATTTTTGCACTTTTTAAGATTTTATATTTGGTGTTCAGATACTAATCTTCCAATCTTTCAATAACACATAGCTATCAAGGGATATTTTCAAATTTCTTGTCAACTTGAAACATTTTTTAACTCAAAAACACGACGGCCCGCTGGATGAATGACTGCCCTGGTACCAAACCACTGGCTGCGAAGGCAAGTTTTCTGGGGGAAACCTTAATAACACTAATCCTAAATATAATGCTTTTATTTTTGAAACATTTCAGGCGGGGCCACGTTCCGCTGGGGTAGATCCAGGACTCACTGGAGGGACCGTGTGACCCTTCTGACCTGGAACTCTCCAGGATCTCCCTGGATGAGCTCGAGAGCGTGACCCTGGAGACGGATGTCCCGGTTTCCCTCGCGCAGCTCGATCACAGATAAGTGGAAAACCATGAATGCGTGTTTTGACATTTGAAGACGTTAAATTAATGTTGAAACTCTTAATTTTTTGACCATTTAACTTTATTTGGTATGATTTTGAAAACTAAAAGCAATAAATGTTTTGGTAATTACAAGATGCGTAATAACTCAGAGACATTTAAAGGCGTTTCAGACAACCAATGCTGTTTACCAGAGTTGCTAAAAGCCGGAGGAAGGAAGTGTATGATGCCGTGATTGTCTTTAAGCTGGAGTTTAGACACAGTCATTCCCCCCTCCTCAGTAGTACACAGATACTATGGGAACCAACATGAACACAAAGCACTTACATGAAGAGCAGTTGTTGGTTTAAGGCTTCAGGTGTGAGGGGGTTCTGTGTCTCTTTGGGTTAGATTAGCTCAAGTTTCAGTTATTCCAGAAATGCATTCGGTGAACAGAAATGTGTGTGATAAGGACAACCTCTTCTGATCTCATATTTCCTTCTCGTAAAGAAAAAAAACAGCTATAGAAATTGAGGTCATTAGCATACAATTGTTTTAAAAACATGTCATACTGGAGAAAAACTGCATGAATACACACACACAAAAAAAGAAAAAACAAAAATCAGTGCATGGAAAATAAATAGAAAAAAAAACAACAACAGTACAAAATGTGAAGTTTTTGAAAAGCATCTGAATGTCATATCTAGGAAAATAAATGTAACAATATAACCTGACTAGTGGCAATGCAATAAATCTAACAAATAAATCTGATCAAATGTAAAAATATAGAGACCCCAAAAAAAAGATAATATAGAAAAACATCACCAAATAGTTCAACTTCTTCAGCCTCAGAAAATACTGTCCATCATCTGCAGAGCACTGGGAGTTGAGAAACTGAGTGATGCATCATTAAATAACCTGCATGTTTGTATTTAAAGAATAAAAAAGGTGTAGCTGAAGAGGTGAGGCGTCTCTTAACTTTCAGTGTGCAGACTGAAACATAGCAGAAAATAAACAAAACAATCAACCAAATCGAGCTCCCGCTTTATCTCCAACAAGCACCGAATCATAGAAACACTGTCTGGATATATATATATATGTCTTTTTTTGTTTGTTTTGCGTGTGTGTTATTTTAAATAAAGATATATATACATAGATTATAATATGTACAGTAACTGAGCTGCATCATAATTCTCTTCAGTGGATTGCACTGCTTGAGGTGATGCTATGTCATACAGCGTGGACATATTTAATGGCACCCATGGTAAAAATGTGCAAAGAGCCTCAAAATAAACGTCTTTACTTTGCAGTAGAACTATTTTACTCATTTTCAATATTCAGCAGATTGACTTGACTTATTGTAGATTATTTGAGAAGGTTGGTTCTGTCTCCGTAGAACAAAGGTTAGTAGTTTTGTTCTTTCCGTCGCTATCTTGCTGAAGGACCCAGCGACGATGTTTTATTTAAAATCTGCTGGTAATTCAGAAACCTCTGCTGCAGTTTATTTTTTAAACAATCCTAAGGTGTTTTATCATGTCCAGGGAAGTACTAAATACAAACAAAAACATGGAGGAGGCATAATTTAAACAGCTAAATAACAAAACTAATTTTCCTGGATAAAAATAGACATTTTCCCAAATATTTGAATTGAATTTTCTTATTCATCTGAATAAATTTTTCTTGAAGTAACCATTGGATTTCTCACAACCTTTCATTGTGAGATGATGTAACCTGAGTAAAACAGTAGTTTATTTTAAGGCTTTTACACACTTTTCTCAGGGCAGACAATGAATTCGTCCACCCCTGTACTTAAAGCAGACCCTGTCAACTTTGTGCTATAATTCTTGTTCCTCAGACAATCAGCAGTATACAAGGCTTGCAATAATGAGACAGACAAAGCTTGGTAGGCGTGTTGTGGAGTTACATCATGGAGCTTGCATATTGTGTTCAATTTCTACTCAAGGAGCATATATGGACAGCAAATAAAAAAAAACAACAATTCTTTCACTTTGAACTGTTCAAGTGTCAGATGATTATCTCCATGATGTAACTCTGAAAGAAGGAGCTTTGGTGGCGACTTGAAGGCATCTGGGGGTCTGAGCCTGAGAGGGAACACCAGGAGCAGCTTTCTCACCACCTCACTTCTGAACATGCAGGTTCTCATCACTCCAGAAGACCAACAGGAATATTAACATACAAACAGGCACAAGGAGAAACAGCGATGCGTTAGAAAAACGTGTGAACCAATCAGCAGAACAGGACTGTGTCTGGTCCAGGATTGGGGATCTACCTGGTCGTTGGGTAGCTGTTTTTCTCCGTTGACCCCGAGCAGAATCGCCTCCTCTGTGTTGTCACTCTTCATCTCCACCACAATCTTATCTTTGCTGGATTTCTCTTTAGTGCTTCAGTTTGACAAGAACAGGCTCAAATAAGTGACATTGTTATACAATGTCAGTCACTAGGAGGTTGTGAAACGGTACCTAATGTGGATGTTGATGTTCTGAATGCCTTGACTAAAGATCCTTTGCTAAAGAAAAAAATTACTTGTGTTTCAGTTGCAATGAATAAAGGAAAATGTAATGCAAACGATTAATAAGTAATTTAAATCAAACTGAGCCAATGTAATATTTTACCCAAGGATTTTATTTTTCATGTGACCAGAGTTATCATCTTTAATTATAACAAGGAACCCTTCCAGGGGTCGGTTTGTTTTGTAGTTTTCTCAGTGGGACCAAAACAAAAAGGGTGTGATGGAAAATTTACAACACAGCTGCTTGTTTACCCTATAAGCTCAGCCCTTTTGTTCAGAAAAGGTCTGAACAAAAGGGATTTTGCGTCTCACGTCTTTAAAGTTTGCTATTTTTGATATATTTCTCGAATGAATAGTGTGCATCTATTGGGATTAGGTGTGTGGAATTGGTTAAATTGGAGCTTTGATCATGGCATCATGTCTGTAAAACCTTTTAGGAGTATCAGATTTTCTTTAGTTAAATGTTTTCACTTAAATTGTAGAATTTTGTTAGAATAGAAGAATAGAATAGAATAGCATTTATTGTCATTGAACAGGATTCAACAAAATTTCTATTGCAACTCCCGTGCAAAAAGTCAAATATATACAATATTAAATAAACAAACACACAATAATAATAATAATATATACAACTAAAATTAACTAAAGGCACTCAACCACACCAAAGAAGAAGCAGCAGGTCCAATTATGGTAAAGTGCAGATGATGTATTTTAATACAAATTTGGTAAAACGTTAAAATTTGCAGTAGGGTGGAAAACTGGATTTAAATGTTGATAGCAAACTTCTCTCCTGTTATTTAAATTTAGCAGAAAAGTTTTTCCAGCAGTGTTTTCTATGCATAAATATATAAATCTAGTTCTTTGCATTAGACCTAACAGTAAAGATGAACAAAACCTAGAGAATCCCGTTTTCTGTCTTAACAAATACTAAAACAGACAATTTAATTTTCATTAGACTTACAAGTCCTTTTTTCCTGATCGATTGCAGATCTTGCCTTTTTTGTAAAGGAAGTAAAGCACGCTACCCAAGATGGCCAGAAGCAGGATGCAGATAATGATCACTGCAATGACAACACCATAGCTTCCTGTTGAAGAAGAAAAAGCAGGAACACAAATAAGAGGAAGTCGTTTTGTAAAAGAGATTATGCTCGGAGTTAGAAGAGTCCGATGGCAGGTGAGAGTGTGACAGAAAGCATTCAATAACAATACAGCAGTGCGAGCACCGTTCAGGTGATCTACATCTGGCAACTCAGAAGAAACAATGTGCAAAAGTTTCGAGTTTGCAAGAGAAGAGGTGCGCTTAAAACAAAAACAAAAGGGAGAATAAGCGTCGAGCATGCAGAGGGACAAGTGGAGGTAATGGACAACAATGTTGTGCTCAATAGAAAAGGAATGTCTGCTGGAAGAGAGTCAGAAAACTGATACGGTGGATAAGCTAAAGGATGCTTTTTGGTTTTTGAAGACAATCTGCAGCAGCATGACATACGAACCTTTTTGGACTTTCTCTTGTGGTTTGGGTGTCTCTGCTTTGACTGAGAAAGACCAAATGAGCAGAGTTATCAGAGGGTTTGTGTGTTAAATAACTGAATCAGCAGGGCTGACACACAAACAGGCATTCGGCATGAAAAAGTCAGACAAAATTACTTGATTTCAAAGGCTGTTATCTCTCCAAAGCTAAAAAACATCTAGCATGAATCGTGGTCAGTGACCTGAGTCATTTCCCACAGTAGCCTGCTTTAATCTCATTTCACAAGAGAGAAACAAAAATCCAGAACAGCTTTCCTCTGAGGGGATGGAAAGTTTTCTGGCAGGGTATATGTTAAAAAAAACAAAAAGACTGAGAAAAAAGCAGCATCCTGTACACCAGTGAAGAGGCTCACTCTGAGTGGATTCAAAGCATTGCTTCTTCAGTTATGTTTATATTTGTGGATGTTTCTGTTTTAGTTTTTAATATCCTTCTCTGTTTTGCAGATGCTTTTAAACCACAGTATGATTTTCTCAGGTTATAAATTTCATCTTTGGATGTTCGGTGGATAATATAATTAAAAATACATCAGCCTGATGTTACTGGTTGTGATTGTAATTCAGCCAAAAATTACAGATTATCAACATATATGTATTGAGTTATGTGTCTTTGGCCCAAAAAATGAGAGTTTTCAGTCATGTTACATTTAGGTCAACATGTAAAACAATAGATTTAGAATCAATGAAAGTGGACTGATTTCAATTAATGATTAATTGATCAGTGCAACACAATCGTAATTTACAGAATATGTAAGGTTGCAAATAAGATACAAATAATTTAACATAATAACTTGATGAAACAGATATACATTACTAAATCAGTGATGATGATTACTGGAACCTTTAGTTTATCTTGATTTGGCTAAAGAGGCGCAAAGCAACTGATCTTACCTGTGGATTTGGGTTTGGCAGCATTGGTGGATGTGCTTGTATTGTTGGTTGTGTTGGCTGCTGTAATGGTTGTTGGAGATATTGTTGTGGTGGTAGTTGCTGGTGTGGTGGTGTGTTTAGCTGAAAGGGGGTGGGAGGAACAGATGGGAGCACACTTCACGTTACAACATTAGGGGGAACGGAGGGGTTCACATCAACAGCCGAGCAGCTTCACAACGTTGCCTCTTTTGCAAAGAGAACACACGGTGAAGTGCTCCAAATTACACGCAACACTTTACAACACGTCACAGAGAGCGCCTGACCTTCAGACGAAGAATAAAAACAAACCTTGACACAGACAAGAAGGGGAAGGACAGATGGGGAAGGACACAACAACAGGGTAGACAACAGGAATGAAGCAGGTACTCACTGAATTTGATGACGTACGTAACCGAGTCTTTGCCGAACTCATTTGAGGCGTTGCAGAAAACGGTTGTGTTTGAAGTGATACTGACTTCAACTTTGGCTACGCTCTTAGCACCCACATCGGTCATGTGATTTGAGGAGCTGATGATCTGCCACAAACACACATTTCAAGACAGAATGGTGTGGTTACAAATCAAAAGGGTCAGATTTGGTTCGAAGGTTCTTTTGGAAAAGCTTGAAAAGTTGGTGCTTGTCCAACCAATATCAAGTGAGGGGAGCTATTACTTTTGCTGGCATTTTGAGTAACCGTGGCGTCATAATCACTGAAAAACGAGACAAATTCAACTCAAAACAAATTCTGACTTACACTGCTGTGTGTGTCTTAGGGTATGAACTCCTGATTCAAAGAACTTGAAACAATATGAGCTGATTATAGTTTTTTTGTGAATTTGAAACAAACTTTTTAGGCATTTTGGTGTACCCTAATAATGGTTTCCAGTCCATACCCTGCTGGGAACCTCCTGCTACCATTAAACTTTGTTGACATCTTACTGTGGAAAAGGCATCTTCCTGAATAATAACTTGACAAGTATCATGTAGAAGAGTTATTTGTCAAAAGAACAAATACCAGAACCAGTGATTTCCCTTTAAAGACTCAGGAAATAATCCATGCTGTTACCGTCACCCGGCCAGTTTGGATTTATGAGACGTAGACAGTCTGGTTTTTGTCATAATTGACCTCGTCACATATTCATGAGTTATGGCTGAGAACTGAATCCTTTTTGCGTATGTTGGATTTAAAGCTAAAACTGAAAGACATTTCTCAGTAGTACCTTCCCATTACTGGTGCCCCAGGTTATATTGGGAGTTGGGAAGCTTCTGACGTGACAGGTAAGTTCAAGTTCCCTCTCATTGGTCTCTTTCTCATTGAGCTGTTTTTCTATCATCTCTGGTGGGCCTGCAGAAAGAAAGACATGAAGCAAACACAATTGATGATCTTAACTATGAAGTAAAAATTAATTTGACGAGTGAATTCATCTGTAGTTCCTAATAAGCTGTACTGTTGTCCAACTCACCCTGAACATTGAGCTGTAGTGAAGCGTGGGCTTGCATTCCCGGACTCTCCGGTACTGTCACTACGCAAACATATGTTCCTGCGGTGTCATACGTTACAGCCTTCAGGTTTAAATGGTGACCCTTTTCAACTTCTTTTCCATTCTGCCGAAAAACCACATCAAACTTACTTGCTGCCATTAGCATTTACATAGAAAGCAACGCATACATTAGTGGTTCTTAATGCAACAGACCTCTGCTTTTTCTAAGTAAAAAACAGTCAGTGTCATTAAGCTTGTAGTGGTATAATCATATACAACTCTGCTATTGTGTACAAAACTATATTGCACTGCTACCTTAAACCATGTTGTGCTGGTGCTGAGAGATGACAAAGCATTGCAGGTAGCCGAAAACTCTTTCTTCCAGTCCACCAAAACAGAGCCGGTGGGTTCAATGACCACCTCGTCCAGATCTATGCAAAACATAAAGTACTGAGTGCTGAATAAGTCACATTTATTGTTCTCATTGCAGATGAAATTAAAAGTCCTTACAGTTGACAAACACTGTGTTGTTTGTTGATAATGTCACAAAATTTTCAAAGTCCTCTACGGTGCAGAAGTAAACATTACTATCGCGACGAGTAACGTTCTCCATCGTCAAACGTGGACCCTTCAAAACCAAACAACAGTCTTATCAAACACAATGTAATCAGATACAAGTTGTCATTTGTGTTTTAGGAACAAATTTAGTTAGAAAATGGACAGAAGTTAAAATAAATGAAATTTCCTCAGGTGTACCATTTTTAGCATATTTTTTCCTTCCCCTCAACTTTCCACTAAAACTTTTCTTTATTACATTTAAGAATATAATATAATCAAATGAAATATCCATATTAGACTTGAATTATTGAAATGAAATTAAAATGGCTGTCTAATGTATGTAGCGGCAGCACAAGAGTTATGGTGACAGTCAAATTTCTTACAATATCACTGCCAATTGTGAAAATTTGGGATTCACTACTTCCATCACTGGCGCAGCGGAGCTCCACCGTGTCGCCCTCCTTGATTTTACCCTTTGGGGATTCAACCCACAGATTTACTGTCGTGGGAGGATCTGAAACAAAGAAGGGAAAGTCAGAAAGGTCCAGAAATGTTATGCCATCAGGACAAAATTATACTACTCCTCATAAAATAAGCCTCAAAGTTATTAAGTGACTATATTATTTACTACAGAAAACTAATTGACATTTTTATCACTTTTAAGTACTGTAGATTCTTTTCTACACTCAGATTACATCATCCATGGCCAAAACTAAATCACACAAACCTCAAGAACATCTTGTTACAAAGATATGATATGCAGCTACTGTTTTGGTAGAGGATCTCTAACACAGATTACTTCTACGTCACTTGAAATTCACCCAAAATGTCCGGAGCAGCTGTTGCCAGAAAACTCTCATAGTCTGGGTTACTCACAGAAGACAGTGATGTTAATACTGTTGCTTTCAAGCATTTTCTCAGCTCCAGGAACAAGGAATGTGACCTCGCAGTAGAAAACTGCATCTTTGTCCTTCTTCTCCACCTTCATGTTCAGGTCACTGTTGACCGAAAATAAACCAGTCGACTGAGTGGTGATTCTGTGATCCACTTTTACAACTGGAAGACAAAGCACATTTGCAGACACAAGAGATATGAAAAGGTAAGCCGTTGCAGAGCTGACTCACACACAGAGAAATTAATTAAAAAGGAAAATATTGTTTGACATTCACCAGTTTCATTTCATGTGCACATCAGTTTTAGAAGTGAGACCCGGCTCTGTTTCAGCTGTTCTCTGGGAAATGAGAGGCGGATGTTTTTGTGCCTTTTACATAAGTAGTGGTTCAAGCCATTCCTGTTTATTTTTGCTGAATCACTGATTTAAGTGAGCTAAGTAGGTTTGCTGTGTTGTTGTCTGGGGTTCTGATGTGACCATCTAGATGAGCTGTTGAGGTCTTCTTGAAGGAAATGTGGCAGGCAGGGCATTCCGGTTTATGTTTTCTCCATTTGTGGATTGTGGCTTCGTCTGTGGTTCGCTGGAGTCCCAAAGTCTCTGTATTGGCTTTGGAACTAGTTCCAGTCTGAGAGATTGATCATTTCTTGCATTTGTTCAACACGTAGCACAATTCATTACGTTTTGAGGTGTTTTACCTTTTGATGGACAGAATCTATTTTAATTACTTCTTTGTAATAAGCATGAGGTCTAGTTTACTATCTTGCATAATTTTGTGCATCTTTACATGGCTAAACGTCTTGAAACTGAAATCTTGGATAATAATTTCTCTAATTAAGCACTGTGTTTTTACCACATGATCAGAAATGAAAACTGTACAACTAAAAACAGACTTTGATGGAAGTGTGACTCACCATCTGGAGTATTGTGCAGTGGCATGTTGTTTCTGTACCAGGTGATCTTTGGTTTGGGGTATCCATTTTTCACCTCGCAAGAGGCAATCTATGTAACATAGGAGTCCGAACATGAGGGTGTTGTCTGACCGTTTATTATTTTTAAATGGTTCGTCTCTTGTGATCAAAGACGTGCTTACCTTTGTCACTTCATCGCTGACTGATATTCCTTTTTCCACACCTTGAATTGTGGGATCCTCTGGTGTTTCTGGAAAGAAAAAAGGACAAGGTAAAGAGAAGGAAGGCAGGCAATAACTGACTGTTTAATGTCTCAAGCTGTTTTTAATCTCTCAGCCATCAGAATGCAGTAAATCTTACTAAACACTTTCAGCTTTGTGCTTCCCACTGCCTCCTTTTCGCCAATGATCTTGACGTGACACTTGAACGCCACCTCATCGTCGCTCAGCTGCACATCTCTGATTGTCAGCACCACCTCTCCAGTGGTTCCGGTGGTATTCACCGTGATCCGATCAGTGTACGGAGTGTTCTTGTCCACGGTGCTGTGAAGGCTGTCCTGGCTGTAGATTCGTTGAGTGTCTTTTGAACTCTTTACCTGCGCATTCACACACATCAGTGTGCATGTTAGGACAGCTGGTATCGCTCTGTGGGTGTGTAGAGCAAAAGGTTTGATGACACTCACATAGTACCACTCTATGGTCAAGCCGCCGCTGCCGCCAAAGTCGTCCGATTTGAACATGCAGGTGATCTGAGTCGTGTCTCCCAAAAAAGCTTCCACTTTGTCCTCCATGTTTATCTCCACAACGGCCCTGGCTGGAAGAGGGAAATGAAGATGTTTTTATGTCTGCTTTCAAAAACAACAAAGAGTAAATATGTTGTTAAAATGTCTTTTTTAAATGATCATGACTGCAAGTTTTATGGAGGTCCACCTCAAGTCAACATCGGTCAAACTGATATTCTTATCTTTGGGATACTAAACACCCAAAGATAAGAATCTGAAACAACATAGACCATAAATAGGCCCCAGTTTGGTGTTTTGATGTGATTTACTTGATGTTCAAAATCATCATGATCAGGGGGGCACGTGTTTGATTGCTTTCATCCTTTGTTCATTTTCTTCAGAAAATATTTTTAATGTGCCATTGTGACAGCATTTTGCAAAATTACTCATTTATACTCAAACATCTAGATATTTTTATTATCTTATAATGTTACAGGCCAACTCAAAGCAGTGCAAAAGTATTAGTTAAAAGGGTTTATGTACTTATTGCAATTTGAATAGTGAAAGATGAGGGATGTGTTGTATTTCCTCTCTTTCATAAATACTTTGGAAAACTGTCTTTTGATGTATTTGCACCTGAATGTTTTTTCAGTTGTAGTTTGACTGGAGATTTTTACCCATCAGACTTTGCAAAACTAATAACTCAAGCTCAATCAGATTGCATTTAGAGTGTCTGCTTGTATCTATTTCCAGAACTTGCTACAGATTCTCATATAAATTCAGATCTGGGCTTTGACTGGTCCACTCCAACACATAAATACTTTACTCTAAAGCATTATGCTTCTTGTGTTTATTTTTGACTTGCTGAAATGCAAACCTCTAGCCCAATCTTTTACAGCTCCCAATGGCTTTTCTTCCAGGAATGCTCTGTATTCATCTCTCCCCCAAACATCTCATAAACTCCCTGAACCCCGCCGAACAACAGTCTCCTAACATTATTATATGATGCCACCTCCATGCTTCACAGTAGGGTTGTTATGTTCAGGGTGGATTCCACAGAACTAACACAATGTTTTAAATAAAATCCACAAAGTTCAGTTTTGGTTAATCCCAAAAAAATACAGTCCGGTTTATTGCAATGTGACTGAATGTGAACAGGTTCTAGTTGTTTGAATTATTTGCAGTAATATCCAAAACATAGGATATATAATAATGAGACTATTTAAAACAACTCTTTACTTCAAAGATGCAAGGGCAAAGATGAAATTGTTCAGTTCTGTGAACAAAAGTGTTAAGACTGCCAGGATCATCATCTTCATCATCTTTATTTAATATTTTTGTACAAACTCAAGTAAAAAATGTAAATCAGTAAAAAGGAGGAAAGTCCTGATGGGCAAAAGATGCTATGATAGGAATGAGAAGCCCACCCATGTACACATAAATGCACCACATTCCAGCATGGCACCCTCACACAGGAAGAAAGGCCTGATTTACTGGCAGCATAGTAGCACCACTGTTCCTTCATGATCTGTCTGTGAGGAACCAAGGTTTTTTTTCCCCCTTTCACTTCCCCTGAATTGACCTTCCTTTTAGTCTATAGGGACCCTCAAATACACTTGGAGTCACATTGTTTGAGTAGATGCATAGGAGTTCAGGGCAGAGAAGAAGCCCAGTGACCTTAAGAGGTTTGTTGCTATAAATTGTTGCTGAGCTCTGTGGGAAAACGCCACTTCATAGCCAGAACTCGGCTTGTAGCGTTTGCTGTCTTTCTGGCTGACTTTTGCTGACCATATGCTATTTTGCTTAATTAAAATGAATTGTTTCTTTATTTGCTGAATTACCTCTGCACTGGACTAAAAGTGGAGAACAAGGCAAAAATGCTTTTATAGGTAAAAAATAATTCAGAGGTTTATTTACTTATGAGAGCCACATTTTTCTTATTGAAAGAAAATATGTGTATGTTGATGTTTAAAAAAAATTTCCATAATATTGTATGTTTTTTTTTTTTTTGTAATTGTGTAAAAATATAAAGCACATTTATTTTGTTTGTGAGCCAATCCTCTGATTTCTTCTGCAAAAACAACCCAGCATGGATTTCTGCCTCTATCTGCACTAGCCCACCTGTCTCTCACTCAGCTGCATGTCGCTGTTTACTCCTGGCTAATGGAGCCATATAAATGCTTTCCTGGTAAGAAAATCCAATTAGTTTCTACGACATAGACATTTCCTGGCCATTAACGATGGAAGAGCGGCGCTCTTGACCGACTTGCCCCCACCACCCAGGAGGAACTGCAGCACCAACAAGAAAAATCCTGATCTTTAAAAACTCTGACAGCGACGTCACATTTCATTTGAAATTTGTCCAGCGTTTATGTCAAAGGTACCGCAGCTATTAGCACACATTGATTAATAGTGCAACACAAAAAGAGCTGAGCATCTTTTTTTTATTTTTATTGGCAGCATCCTCCTCGTTTAACAATAAACGTAATTATTTACTTTGACTGGACTCTCATTGATTGTGGAGGCAAAGCTGCTTTCTATTTTCGTCATCTGTCTGTCGCATTTCTCACATGATCAATAGTTAAAATCGACCTGTGATGGTTAAAAAATAGAAATCCAACCTAACAGAGACCAGTGAAAGCACAATAAATCCAACAACACTTTTCTGTGTGGTAGTTGGTGCTGAATGAAGTGATGTTGGCTGTTTTCTAAGCCAGTGAGGTGTTTTTAAAAACATGTTGAGATGCATCATTCGGGATGCAAGACGGCGAGAGAGAGCATCACTTTCAGCATGTTTTGCAGAAAACTTCTGAGATGAAATAGGTTGCTGGATTTCTGCTTTGCACGGATTTTTAAGTACTATTGATGCTTTTGAGTAGGGAACATTGGAAATCACTGGACAAAGTGCCTTGGCGCATCAGCTGCTGGCTAGAAGGCACCGGTGTGGAGCCCTCATATTCCTCTGATGTTTCCCTAAAATAGACATTTATTTTCCACAGCAGCATCAGAGTCGTTTATTTAGGAAGATCCTTTTAAACAGGGAAGGAGATGTTAAAAACAGCTAACTGAATACAATACAGTAAAGTTTTTCTATTATCTTTCTCAGATCTTTTGAAAACTAACATGCTAGATGCTGACATGTAGATCTAGATGGAAAAGTTTAAGAAAATAATGCTTCTCTCTGTTTCTCCCTCTCTTATGCTCATAAGCTGCGTTTCAGATAACCATTAAATTGTTCTGATTGAAATTACTAAAATACATTTGCTTAATGGAAATTACAAATTTTGTTTTCTGTTTTTTTTTTTTTTACATTAGCCAAATGTAGAGAAAGATTTGCGCACCTTTGCAATGCAAACACAGCTTTTACACACACACACACACGCATACACACACAGTGATAATGAGCAACATTAATGATGTTGCTTAACCTGTCAGACAGTCAGTTTGTGGTCAGAAGGTTCTGGTTAAAATTAGGCGCTCGTTTGTGGGTAGCTTATTGTTTACAGGGTAGAGACTCCATCAGAAAGCCAGTTAATTTTCTTATTTATGCCCAGATTCCTGCAACAGATGGTGTGGCCGACACAAAAGCCCCGGTTCAAATTTCACAAAACACCCTTCGTATGTGGGCCCCATCCAACTATGTGTCAAAGTTTAGTCCGGCTAGTGTCTCCTGAACTAAATCTTTTTTTGGCCGTCCTTTGCAACTTTACTTTATCAGTACTTTCCTGTATTAGAATGTAAAAAAATAAAATAAAATAAGTAACTGCATAGACTAAATCAACATTTTACCCCTCAGAAAGACGATGTCATATTTTAAAGCCAAAGGCAAAACACAATAATGAAATAACTCCCTATAGAGCACAAAGGCATTTCACAATTTTAGTCTAAAAGTTCAAACTTAGACTTGACAGGAAAATGTCTTGCTTTTTACTTTATCTCAATGTTTGTGAAAAGTTTTCCAAGATAGTTTTGTGTTCGCTGGAAACGTGGACGTCACAGAAAACGGATTAAAGAGGCTGGAAACAAGCGGATGTTGCATCTGGCAGTAATGGGCTGAAGGAAAAAGGATGCAAGATATGAAAAAGAAGCTTAGAAGAAAATTAAGAAGTCAGAGGGAAAGTCCTAATATCTTCCTACAAGTTAATGAATGAAAAGAAATCAATTAAGATTGCAAATCTTGAGACTCTACAAAATTAGGTGCTCTTAAGGGTGAGGCATGTTAGAGCCTGCAGAAGATAAGTCATTTCAAACAGAACTTGTTTCCGGTCGTGACAGCATAATGACAGCATAATCATCTCCTGCATGGAGAGGAAATATTGGGTCAGATTTATTTTCTGTTTTTATTTTATACTAAATACAATTACATTACTTCTCAAATACTGTTCTTAAAGCATACTTCATGCCAGATCTCTGAAAGGCTTCTGGAGCCTCACACCGAGTGACGCAGATCCATTCCTGTCTCGGTAGAGTTTGGAGTTGATCACAATCGTTTTAAATGACAAAGCTGTGCTGATGTCTTTTAACCACTTCATTATCGCCTTGTGACACGGCGATCCCCCTCCAGGAGGAGATGTTCAACGTTTTATCCACTGCAGCGTTTATTTTCGAGGAAGCCCCAGATTGTAAGGAGGGAGGATTCACTACAGGAATGAATCCTATCTTCTGTGATACGTCTTTTAATTTCCTGCCAAATTCCACGTCTTCCCTCAGTTCTTGATGTTCTTCTTGGACTGAAGTTGTTTGCTTCTGGTCTTTGTCAACAAAGATATTTTTCAAAGGCCGATGTGCTTGTAAATGCGCTCACATCCACCTGCTGCCAGCGTTGACGAAGCTCTCCGAAGGTGGAAACACGATTCTGTTTCGCATGTCTCAGGATGAGACGATCGTAAAGTTAGGCAGACCTTTTTGGGCGTTTTTTTAATCCGTCATTTCAACATGCTCTCCTTTACAAGCCTGATTTGGCCAGGAGGCTACTACTACCTTTATTGTATCATGTATTTCCTATCTTTATATCAGTCCGATCAGTGTCCAGAAACATCTCATCTTTGATTTCGCATCCCAGCCTACAGCAGGACTTGATCTAAACACGTAC